ATATATATATCGTCAAATAGAACTGCCCGGTAAACCGTAGGCAGAGAGGGAGAAGAGGACAACAAATGAGGGGCTGTGACAAACTGTTTCGTCGGAGTTTCACCGACTCATCAGGAGGCTGAACCCTCAACAGTCTGCAAAATCCCCTCACTGATTACACTGTAAATGATAATCTAACAGAACTGCTCGGTAAACCGTAGGCAGAGAGAGAGAAGAGGACAACAAACGAGGGGCTGTGACAAACTGTTTCGTCGGAGTTTCACCGACTCATTTATGAGTTCTCTATGACGTGAGGTACATTCCTATAAATTTTCAAGGCGTTTGGCTTAGCCAAATAAGAACTAAAAATCGCCAAAGATGGCCGTGTCAAAACGTGCTCGCCCACTTTTTTTTTCACTTTTTACTTTTTGTTTTCACTTTAGTTCGGGATCTAAAAAAAAATATTATTTTTTAAAACTTTTTTAGTGGGTTTTGTATTATGTGAAGTACACATCTGTAAATTTTCAGGGTATTTAGCTATGCCAAAAAAAAAAAGAAAAACCGCCAAAGATGGCGGTGTCGAAAACATGCTTGCGCACTCACTAAATTTAATTCTCTTTTTATTTTTATTTATTTATATTATTAGTATTTGTTTTGTGTATTTTATTTTTATTTCAAATTTGGTAAGGAGTTTGGACGTAATGCTCAGGCAAATCTTGTTTAATTTATTTTTCTCCATAACATATCTTTGTTTCAGATTTTTTTGATCAACATTTTTTTTTTTTTTTTTTTTTTTGGGTGCTCCGCGTTTGGTCCGAACGGCCGAACGCATCCCCAAGGGGTCCCATACGTTCGGGCGTTCGGCCCGTCCCGAACGCCGGTTACCCTGTATATATATATATATATTAATGAATAATGCTCCGATTTGCGGGGAGCGGCACCAGCCCAGCGTCCCCTTATAAGAAGGATTGTAACCAGCTGGGAACCAGCCCCAGGCAATTCAGAAATATTTGGTTTTACAGTTTTACTCATCAAGTTCCACCATCTCGGCTTGAACTTGCCTCTCTATTTCAACAGTTCATGGGTGTACCCACTGAGCTAGGCTTTTGGGGTAAACTCAAGTTTTTTTTTTTGTTTTTTTTTTGGGAAAACTCAAGTAGTTTCACGTGTGGTTAGTCCGATGATAATACCTCAAGGCCATCGCCCAAGTGGTGTCGAACGAGGCTCTTAGAGCCATTCAGGCATAGGGCCTGGCCACCATAATGGGCGAAGTGGAGCATCATCCCAGCATGTATATCCTGCAAGAACATGGAACGATGCACCCGCCATTAGGTTTCGTGACTTTCGTCTTTTTCACATTCCGCGAGTGGTGTGCGATGGAGTGGTGTTGCGATGGCCATAATCCCACGGCGCACGGTAGCTTATTTTGTCGTTTTCTTCTTTTTCCGGATCTTGATCGGATCGCGTTGGAGTTCTGCGAATCGCTAACATCTGCATCTCTGATCTGTCCTCCGGAAAAAACAAAATAAATAAAAACATTGAAAACTTTCAAAAAGAGTAACATAACATTTAAAAAATGGTCTAATTAAAAAAAAAAAAAAAAGGTCTGGCAGTCAACGACGCGCGGGCAGGTACTGCCGCGATTTTTCGTTTTGTTTTCCTTTTCAAAGGTACTGTACTGCCGCGTTGGCGGCAGTCTTTTTTTTTTTTTTTCCTGCAGTCATTTCCCGACCGGCGTCGCTCGTTGTCGCCGGCGTGGGTCCTGTGCGGAGCGCGAACTCACACTGGGACATTTTTGACTAACCTCTGGACGCAGCTGCCGTCAGATACATCGTCTCGTGGACGGAATTGAGGTCGGATACATCCAGGGAAGCGCTACCGGTAGTGCGAGCGTTTTCCGCGCTACCTGGTAAGGTTGGTCGCCGCTGTCTTCAATCGGGATCTGAGCCCTGACACGCCGGCCGACCGCAGCTACAAGCGCTCTGGTGTAGGCTCGGACCGCCATGATATTTGTCCATTGTGCATGTGGACATTAGTAGTGGAGCGAGGCCCTCTACTGTAGTCTAGATTGGAGCTGATGCGCCGGCGGCCTACCGGTAGAGCTGATGCGCCGGCGGCGTACCGGTAGTAGCACCGTCCGACTTCGAGCCTCCTTTTCGTTTTTCTTTTTTATTAATATGATATCAGCTCCAATCCATTGAATCCAACCCAATAGATTGGAGCTGATATCATATTTAAAAAAAAAAAAAAAAAAGGAGACTCGGAGTCGGGCGACGCTGCTACCGGTAGGCTGTCGGGTCGTCGGATAGAACGAGGCTACCGGTAGCCCGCGGGGGCATCGGATACAATGATGATGCTACCGGTAGGCCGCGCGTGCCCCTGATGATGCTACCGGTAGGCCGCGTGCACGCCCGCCTGATTCTGTGCTGCAGTAGTCGGGCCGGCGGAAGGTTAAGGGAACGAGGTGGAGAGCAGGACTTTCTGAGCTGAACTCAGGGCGGAAATGCGGTTAGATACATACAGGAAGGTCCTCGTGACAGTACACGTCGTAGGCGAAGCGGAGAGGGGGAACAAGTCTGAGGTGTAGAGGTTGAGGAGAGAGTAGGGTCCTCGTCGCACCTCTTGCCAAATGCCAACATTCTGATGAATGAATCTGAACATCCATGTGCTCCGGATACGTTCAGAATGCTGCAATTTCGCGAGGCGTGCGGCGAGCCCTAAGGCTCTTGGAGAGAGAGAGAGAGAGAGAGAGAGAGAGCGAGAGAGAGAGAGCCTTTGTGGCGATGTATGGCAGCTTGCGTTTTCCTCCTGCCGCGGTTGATCGACAGGCTGTGCGGCGCAGAGGTGCGCCCCCGGCTGTGCGGCGCCACACACACACACACACACACACACACACACACACACACACAGAGAGAGAGAGAGAGAGAGAGAGAGAGAGAGAGAGAGAGACTGTGGGGGTGTTTGGCAGCTTGCATTTTCCTCCTGCCGGTTGATAGACGGCCTGTGCGGCGGAGAGGTGCGCCCCCGGCTGTGCGACGCCACACACACACACACACACACACACACAGAGAGAGAGAGAGAGAGAGAGAGAGAGAGAGAGAGAGAGAGAGAGCCATTGCGGGGGTGATTGGCAGCTTGCATTTTCCTCCTGCCGGTTGATAGACGGCCTGTGCGGTGCAGAGGTGCGCCCCAGGCTGTGCGACAACAGCAATCCGAACCCCTGTTGTGCGACGCTGGTCGCGCTGCCGGTGTGTTCGTCGGCATTTGTCCCTCCCATCTTCTTCCTCTCGATTGTGTGGCATTGCCTCTCCACCATCGCTGCATGCTGCAGAGAGCAACGAGTCTAGAGTTCGAACCTCGGCTGTACGACACCAGCCAGATCCACAAGCTTCGGCTTCCGTTCCATGGAATAATACTGTAACTCCCATCATTTGCGACATGCGTGCTCTCTCTTCTCAGATAGCAACGAGTAACAATTTGAACCCCGCTTTTCTGACTGACACGTGGCTTGCGTTCACGTCAGCTTTTTGTCCGATTAAGGAAAGCCACGAGTCAGTCAGACCAAGTGGAATCAACGAGCAACGAGTGAACAGTTCGAACCCCTTCTTTCTCGAGTTAAATCTACATCTGTCCGTCTGTTCGAATGCTGCCTGCATGCACATCGTGAGTGTCGAATAAGGTACGAACCACCTCTCTCTCTCTCTCTCTCTCTCTCTCTCTCTCTTTCTCTCTCCCTCTCTCCCTCTCTCTTTTTATTGGTACGAATCAGTTAATCTCTCCTCGTTTGATTCGGCGGATCGAGGGAATTGCCGTACGCGTATGATACTTAGGGCCCACCTGCACTGCTTAAAAAATGTACGAAGTGAGAATGAATATTCCGCTAGAACATGGAAAGATACAGCGTCGTATTTTTTTTTTTATGCAGTTGGTGAGATGTGAGGTGAGGCCCTTAAATCTGTACGTGAAAGAGTTTCCGCGCGCCCCGGCCCCCCCCTTTCTCCCCTCTTCTTCTTTTTAGGTAACGAGTACTTTTGAGTTGTATGTATTCTGTCCTCTCTGTGCGGACAGGAATTTCAGTGATCTTCTTCCCCCCCCCCCTTCTCCCCGAATTTCAGTGATCTGCTTTGCAGTATTGCTGGTTTCCATTTATGGGCGTGCCTCCACTGCAGGATATTCTAAATGTATCTGTATCTGGAGCTCGTAATACATTCAGAATGTTCGATCAGTCAGAATGTATCCGATACCTAACTCTGTCCAGATACATGTCGAATGTGAATGTTGAGTGGTGGAACGAAGCTCTGTCCTTGAACTCTGAACGATCCAGAGAAAAATCCGTTTGTGTGTATATAGCCTCAGTCTTGATTGATTGATTGATTGATTGATTGATTAGTTGATTGGTTGATTGATTGATTGATTGATTGATTGGTTGATTGACTGATTGATTGGTTGATGAATAGGTCAACGGATCGAACCCTTGTTTAGCTAGATTGTCATTTATACAATTCGTCATTCCTTGGTTATAGTGTATGCATGCTCTGCCAACACGAATATGTTCATGGATTTCAAGGTTCTCTCAATGTCTTAAAATTAAAAAAAGAAAGAAAAAAAGGTAGTGGCCATGGCAGTCAAATACCTAAAGGGAAGACGAAGAAGAAGGATTCCGAAGCTATGGCGATGGCTGGTGATGGTTTTCAATCAGAGTTCAAGGGGGAAAAAAAAAACCGATAGAAATCTAGACTGCCCGCTAGCTCCGTTTACTTCTGCCTTCTTCCCCCTTTCCCTTGAATAGAACCCACGGTCATTTGTAGCTGTATTTGGGCCCATTTTCTGTCTACATGCACCGGTAACGACCGTGTGTTTTATTGGGGGAAAACCGTGGGTAGTAGTAGTAGTAGTAGGGGATTCGAGGCCACATTTCTTCTTCTTTTTTTTTTTTTTTACGTTTTAGAAAACAACCCGACCTCATTTTACGTAGGGGTGTGCTGATAAGAGCGGGCACTCCCGTGGAGGCTCCCATCTATATTGGTTGGGAGTCCACATCTCCTACACTGTTATATATATGTATTCATGTGATGATATATATATGTATATATATAGTGTATTGCCTCTTCGACTCGCCTACCATCTTCCCCCCTAACAGAGCGCATCGTCAATCTGATGAAAAATCTCAAAGGGCGATAGCCTTTTAGATATCATCCTGAAACTGACCGGCCCTTGGTAATTCAGACTCCCCTTAGCTACCAATTCAAGTTCATCTGGTTCCATCTGGATTTGAACTCACGTCTGCATTTCCAAACAGTTAAGTTTTTACTCGTGCGTACCAACTGAGCTATAAGCCCGTTGGTATTAAATTAAATTACAATTGAGCTATAAGCTATATTTTTATATTCTTCTCTCAATTTCATCGGCAGTCCACAAGATATTAAAATTTTCGGTAATTCAGGAGTAGGTATTGGGAAAAAAAAAAAATCGGCACACCAACGAGCTTTGCTCTCAGCTCAGTTGGTACGTACGAGTAAACTTAACTCAGTCTGTTGAAAATGTAATGCAGTTGAAATGCAGACCTGAGTTCGAATCCAGATGGAACCAGATGATACAAAATTCTGGAATTTTACATAGGGCCGGTCAGGTTCACGATTCACGATGATATCTCAAGGCTGTCGCATTTTTAAAAGAGGGGGGGGAAAAAAAATAACAAAAATCGGCAGTCCAACAAAAGATTTTGTTCGGTCCAGCATCGTGCGTAACAGGTAGTAGTCGTGCGTTTCGGAAAACGGGAGAGCAAAAAAAAAAAAAAAAAAAAAAAAACTGGGAGAGAAAAAAAAAAAAAAAAGAAGGGAGATGAAAAAAAAAACGGGAGAGCAAAAAAAAACAAGAAGAAACGGGAGGGCCAAAAAAAAAAACTTTAAAAAGACGGGAGAGCGACACGTTGCAGTGTGAAAGCAGTGCAGATTTGTAAGTGTTCATGTACTGCGTCTGTATTTAGTCAGGGCGTAGGGCCTCGTTCCACTACTTTCGACATGCACAACAGACAAAAATCATGGCGATGTAGCTTTCCGTGTTCTAGCGGAAGATTCACTCTCGTTTTGCACATGTCTAGAGTAGTGGTTCGGGGCCCATACTCGCACTTTCCGGTAGGAGAGGACTTTCCCGCGGAAGAGGACAACAAACGAGGGGCAGCTGTGCAATTCTAGAACCTATTGTATTTCTAGGACTTCAACGCCCCAGCTTTTTTCTTTCCACGTTTAAAAAAAAACGTTTTTTTTTTTTGTCCACCCCTCGGACTCCAACATCCCATCAATGTCACACAAAAATTATCAACCAAAACATAAAGGGTCCAAAACAGAAGAGCAAATAAATAATGAATAACAAAAAAATCCTCTCCCAAACACCCAGTACTGCAACCGGCTTAGGGATTCGACCGTCGAGTGTGTGCGTACCTATTACCCAGTTGTGCCCTTCTCTCTCTCTCTCTCTCTCTCTCTCTCTCTCTTTCTCTCTCTCTCTCTCTCTCTTTTCTCTCTCACTCTCTCTCTCGCTCTCTTTCACACACACACGACTGCAGGGTTGGGATGAGTAAAGTCGACCACTTTTCTGTCGTAGGGCTATGGGTAACACTGGGCAGCGTGGTGAGTTCTTATCCATCAATCAAATGCATCTGGGCAGCCTGGCTGTCCAGGTTCAATGTCCTGATGAGTCGGTGAAAGTCCAACGAAACAGTCTGGCACAGTAATGCTGTTTTTTTTTTTGGCACAGTAATGCTATACATATAACGAACGTGACAACACTCACACACACACAAACAATCTCTCTCTTTTCCTCTGTGTTTGTGGAGGATTTTCAACACATACACACATACACACACACGTCTATTCTCTCTATTTTCTTGTGTCGGTGAATGATTTTGCTATATCGGTCGGTTTGTTGTTCATGGAGGGGGAGTGGAGAGGGATCGGCAGGGGGGCAATATTTCGCGAAATTTGTGAATATTCAATTTTTAATCGCTCGTTCGTTCGTTGTTTCGTTCGTTCCAACTTTAAGTTTAGAGGTAACTTGAGCTGTGATTGCATTTATGATTTTTTTTCCTTTTTTCTTTTTTCTTCAAACGATGACGGCCGTGAGATATCGTCATCGAACGACGGAGCGGCCCTAGGTAATTCAGAATAATAATTGTAGTGATTTTTACTAATATGCTTCCAGTGGACTTTGAACCAAGGTCAATAACTTCAACAGTTGAGGGGTGTACCAACGTGTTTGTTATATATTTGACGATAAATATGTATGATGTATGTGAGTTGACTATATCTCTTTATTTGAGGAAATATGGTTTTATATATGAGATATGATTATATACGTGTTGATTTAAAAAAAAAATAAAAAAATTCCCCGGGGATTTCATAACATTTGTGACATAAACAAGGATGGAGACGAGAAATGCTGCTGTTTTAATGATTGAATCAGATTTTCTCAAAGTTGTATGCTGGGAGGTTAGGCTGTCTCTCTTCTTTTTTCCTTTTTTTTTAGTTTTCCCTTTTTTTCCTTTTTTTCTTCCTTTTTCTTCTTTTTTTCTTTTTTTTCCTTCTTTTTTTTCTTCTTTTTTTCTCTTTTCTTTTCTCGCGTGTTTTCTCTTTTTTTGTCCTGTTTTTAAAATCTCTCTTTTTCTGTCTGCAAACGAGATTATCCTTTTAGTTCTTCTCCTCTCTTTTGTCCCTCCTCCTCCTCCTCCTTCTCGTCCTGTTTTTCCTCCCTCTTCTTTGTTCTCTTGCTCGTTTTCATTCTTGTCCTCTCTTTTGTCCCTCCTCCTCCTCCTCCTGTTTTTCCTCCCTCTTCTTTGTTCTCTTGCTCGTTTTCCTCCTCTGTAGAAAATATTCTTCTTGAATTTTGCTATGTCGAATAAGAATCTTGCATTCTTATTGAATATTTTGAGGGAACCATCTCCCAGTAGAGATCCAAAAATAATCCGACAAAGATATTTTTTAAAATTTTTACGAGACAAAATGGTTGCTGACGTACTTGTTAAAACTGTTTCCATATGATCTATCTTTTGCGTTCCTGTGGCTTAGCGGTATCCCCCGAATAGAATCTACGGTCATTATAGTTTTGTATCTAGGGCACTTTTCAGTCTCGATACAGCGAGAATGACCGTACGTTCTATTCGAGGGAAAAACGGGTAGCGTCAACGGGTTCATCTCTTTTGTCCTTGTTCGTTGTCGCCCTCACTTGTGCTTCCTCCTCCTCCTCCTCCTCCTCCTAATATCCGATTTGGCTGCTCTTGACTTCATATCCTCATGAATTTTCACGCGAATCTTCATGCTGGCCAAATACAGCCATGATAACAGCTATGTGAGTTGGATTAAGGTAGGTATTCAACCGGCTTTTCATTCTTTTTTTTTTTTCTCTTTTTTTTTCCCTTTCTTTTTTTTGTTGCTTTCGTGCGCCTCGTTCTTCTTGTCCTCCTGCTCGTCTGCATTCTCCTCCTCCTCCTCCCGTATATGTATATGTTAGGGTTCAGCCTCCTGATGAGTCGGTGAAACTCCGACGAAACAGTTTGTCACAGCCCCTCGTTTGTTGTCCTCTTCTCTCTCTCTGCCTACGGTTTACCGGGCAGTTCTGTTTGTGAC